CATGTCTATATTTCTTTGACCTCTTATTTCGGTCAGGTCTTTCAGAATAACTCTCAAGGTAGACTCGTTTTTCAGCTGCCTGGGATCATAAGCTCCTACTGGGTACTGGTAAGGCTCCTGCTGGGTACTGGCAAGGCTCCTGCTGGGTACAGATAAGACTCCTGCTGGGTACTGGTAAGGCTCCTGCTGGGTACTGGCAAGGCTCCTGCTGGGTACTGGTAAGGCTCCTGCTGGGTACTGGTAAGGCTCCTGCTGGGTACTGGTAAGGCTCCTGCTGGGTACTGGTAAGGCTCCTGCTGGGTACTGGCAAGGCTCCTGCTGGGTACTGGCAAGGCTCCTGCTGGGTGCTGGCAAGGCTCCTGCTGGGTACTGGCAAGTGCTATCTTCCACCTTGGGGTTTGGAGACGTTGTTTTGGTGTCTCTGCACAATGCTGCATGGTGCTGACCTTTGTTACACCTATTACAGGTGTGTAATTGGGTATCACAGTCCTTGATGTTATGTTTCCTGAGGCACCTCGTGCAATGTTGCAAATCTTTGAGTCGCTCAACACGGGCGTCACTATCAGGAAAATTAGAGCAGTGGTACATTGAATGTTTCTCATTGCAGAACAAACATGTTCCATAGCTTCCAGTACCCTTTGGTGTCACGTTCTTGGATGACACAGTAACTATAGGCTTGGAGGGTCCCACTGCATATACGCCCACACTGCCACTGTTCCACTTTGGTGTTGAATTATATTGTCTAGATTGATTTGGAGTACCTTTGGTACTCTGTGGTTTACTATTATTGGTTTCTGAGGGTTTACTTGGTGGTTTTAATTTGTCATGTGTTCGTAATTGATGAACTACTGACTTTAAACCTTCAGATATTTCATTCATAGATAAGATGCTTTTATTGTAATGAGCACTCATTTGTCTCAATATGTCCCTAGGTATTTTCTCCTGGACAATTATTTTCAAGACCCACTCAGCCCCGTTTGTATCTGCTGTCAGGCTGAGGGCATTGATCAATGATTCTACCTCCAGCTTGAAGACTTGGAGTGAATCAGCTGAAGCCTCCGGTGGGGGTAAATGCAACAGCTCATGAACTAAATGTGATGTTCTTACTTCTGGATCAGCATAATTATCCTTGAGGAGTTTTACTGCCAGATCATAGCCGTCATTAGTTAATCTCAGATGGGATACTACTGTTTTAGCCTCACCTGATAATTGGCCTTGCAAATAAGAGAATTTACTACTCTTTGGTAAAGATTGTTTTGAGTCTACAAGGTCAACGAATTTGTTCCAAAATTCGTCCCAATCTTCCTCATCTTTTCCTGAGAAAGTGGGTAAATTAATTGGAGGGAGTCGAGCTTCTGCTTGACTCGTATTAGATGCAACTGTTGTTATTGTTGCTGTTGCCTTGTTCTGGGCAATTAATTTGACATAAGGCTGTAACGTGGCCTGAGTGTGATCTTCATAATTCGCAAGATCAACCATAATGTCGTCTATTTCTGTTTCTGATAAATTGGTGTTGGCAAGTTCAGCCACATATGTTGCTATTTGGCATTTGATTTGCTCAAATTTACCTGCAGCTGCTTGATAATAGCTTTCCAGGTCAGCATAATCAACTGTTGATTGTTGTGACAAATCTTCACATTTCTTGATCTGTCTTGTTAAGTGGCCTTTAAGACCTGCAAGGGTTCTTTTCATTCTCCCTGCATTATCCATACTGGCTAGTTGGTGAAGCCTTGTGGGACTTGTACTTGGGCTGCTCATAATACTGAACAAGCTCTAATGGTAGCCTAGGGTAAAATGCACTCACTAGGCAATAATCCTACCTCTACTAGAGGTTAGCACTTAAAATTAATACACATTATATATATACAATCATACACACTAATGATTTGAGTGATAAACCAGTGTCACTGGAAGTACCTTTAGGTTAGCTCTTCTATATCACCCTAGGATGGTAGAGACACTAATTAATCACTCAAAGGTGTAATGATCATAAGTAAATTATTATATATACAACTCAATTCGAGTTGATAAAAATTACACCCAAAATAGGGTCTGCACCATTCATTAATGGTGCTAGGTTGATCAATATAGTACAACTGACTATGGTAATAATGGGACTAGGATGAACAATAATAGTTCAACTAGTCATATCCTACCCTGTTGTGGGTTGGCAATTAGTAATATTATACTGTGATCACTAGTGCAATATATATTAAATAATTCTCTATTTTGGAGAAATAATATACACAATTATTGATAATAGCCTCTTAATTAGCCTCTATGAAACTTCTAATATTATCTAGAAGTATTAAATATTATTAGTGACCTCGCGAAATAAAGTCCACAAAATTCGTGGATAATCTCTCGCGAAATGTAACACCACGAAATCCGTGAACAATCTCGCGAAGACACAGTCACTAATTTGGCTGGATTCTATATTAGCGCTGTCATTTCACGAAATAACACGCCACCAAATATCTGTGGGTGTGCATGAAACCGCTGACGAAGCTGAACTGGGCTGAGGGAGGCTCCTGAGCTCCCACGAGGCAACGCCGCTGTCTATGACTGGCTGGCTTTGTTTAAATAACACTGCACTAGTATATTTAATGAATCCACTGGTTAACTGGTTCATCCGGTACTAAGATGACCAAATGTGGGTTCATAGGACCAAATATTCCGGTTCCGAAGGTCCAAATAATTCGGTTTCGAAGGACCAAATAATGTGGGAACCGACCTGTGAGATTTATATTTATTTAATTTATATGAATTTATATTTACGTTAATTTATATACTTCGATAGCAATTTGTATAATGATAAGTGGACTGTATTTCTGCAATAATCTCAATCTCACAAATCGATCCTCTACACATTAGGGGGGTTTATATTTATATATATGCAGCCAATCAAACTACAGTAATAGCTACATACATTGATGAGGTTCCTTATCTTATAGTACAGCAGGTTAGTCCACCAGGTATAACTAGGTGTAGACACCAAATTATCCTCTTTGAGGTAGCTTCTATCACCCAGTAACTGGTGCACATAATCTTGCATCCTCGTCTTGACCTGTCAAAAGTGCGCTAGCTGTGAAGCCAGAATCCTATATATGACAAGCTATATCAGAGAAAACACTATACAGTACATGGAACATTAAAGACCTGGCTTAATTACCTTTAGTATGAGGCGATTTCGCGTTCTAACCGGCTAACCCTATATCCTGACATTAATGGCCATAAATGAATGATAAACGGGTTTCGGATAGACACTTAACTTGTATTTGTAGACAGCGTGTTGACAATGGTACACCTTTGGGTTCCATAACACTACGTCCAAGTAAATTTAACAGGAGCCGAATTTGCTCCCGTGTGAGCCTCTGGTCTCAATAAACAATGGCTGCCCTCCTTCCTCACTCAGACGCCTGGCTTACATTGTCCACATTTCAGAAAGTGATAGAAGGGTCACATTTACTCTACTTTAATATTGATAATTAAGTTAATTTATATGAGATGTTTTATGATGGTAAAGTCCAAAGACTAATGTATTTAAGAACAATTCCCAGCAGAATAGCTGGTGAATTATAATAGTATGTGGTGATGATATCCCGTTTTCTATAGACGGTAATTCCACTACAAGTTACGTTTTCTATGGGTAACTTGTTTATACAACACAGCTCTTATCTGTCTGTATGATATTATTGTTAAATGGTGTCGGATTTTCCGACACCTGCTGGGTACTGGCAAGGCTCCTGCTGGGTACTGGTAAGGCTCCTGCTGGGTACTGGTAAGGCTCCTGCTGGGTACTGGCAAGGCTCCTGCTGGGTACTGGCAAGGCTCCTGCTGGGTACTGGCAAGGCTCCTGCTGGGTACTGGTAAGGCTCCTGCTGGGTATTGGTAAGGCTCCTGCTGGGTACTGGTAAGGCTCCTGCTGGGTACTGGTAAGACTCCTTCTGGGTACTGGTAAGGCTCCTGCTGGGTACTGGTAAGGCTCCTGCTGGGTACTGGTGAGGCTCCTGCTGGGTACTGGTAACGCTCCTGCTGGGTACTGGCAAGGCTTCAGGTGGGTACTGGTAAGGCTTCTACTAGGTACTGGTAAGGCTCCTACTGGGTACTGGTGAGGCTCCTGGTGGGAACTGGTAAGGCTCTAGGTGAGTACTGGTAAGGCTCCAGGTGGGTACTAGTAAGGCTCCTACTGGGTACTGAGGCTCCTACAGGGTACTGGTGAGGCTCTTATTGGGTACTGCTAAGGCTCCTGGAAGGTATTGGTAAGGCTTCAGGTAGGTACTGGCGAGGCTCCAGGTAGATACTTGCGAGGCTCCAGGTGGGTACTGGCAAGGCTCCAGGTGGGTACTGGCGAGGCTCCAGGTGGGTACTGGCGAGGCTCCAGGTGGGTACTGGCGAGGCTCCAGTTGGGTACTGGCGAGGCTCCAGGTGGGTACTGGCGAGGCTCCAGGTGGGTACTGGCGAGGCTCCAGGTGGGTACTGGCGAGGCTCCAGGTGGGTACTGGCGAGGCTCCAGGTGGGTACTGGCGAGGATCCAGGTGGGTACTGGCGAGGCTCCAGGTGGGTACTGGCGAGGCTCCAGGTGGGTACTGGCGAGGCTCCAGGTAAGTACTGGCGAGGCTCCAGGTGGGTGCTGGCGAGGCTCCAGGTAGGTACTGGCGAGGCCAATCAGCACTAGTCCCGCTCTATACTACTGCACTATATCACCTCAATACAGTATCACAGCTACTTCCCAGGTACCATGCCACTGTCGCCCTCCTCGATGCCGCTCTTCTGTTTCGTGAGATGTCATCCTTTCCCTTAACTCTCTCCGCTCCCCAGCTGTGGTCCTGAGAACGCAAACGTGCAGCTCTCAGTCGTCGAAACAATTTTCAAGAAAACAGTTATTGTTAGTATCTCCGGTACATGATAATGAGTGTGTTCTTCCCTCACCCTGCATCTCCCTCATCCTGCGTCTCCATCACCCTGCATCTCCCTCATCCTGCGTCTCCCTGCTGCAGGTCGGACACCTGAATGTGGTCATCCCTCCTGACATCCTCACGGACGAGACGTCTGGTGACGTGATGACTCCTGAAGGCAGCACTGTGCGGCTGGTGTGTCGCGCCCACGGCTACCCGGAGCCCCGCGTCGAGTGGCGGCGGGAGGACGGCAGACACCTGGTCCTCCGACCCCCAGGCCAGCCCAAGAACGAGGGTAAGTACCCGTGTTCCCCACGGATGGCTACCACTACTAATGGATTAGTATAAGTAAAAGTGCAGCTTAGTTGTCAGAGGTGAAAAGTAGATTCTCCTGCCATGCAACCGTCCTGAACTATGAGCCCCAAAGAGTATTCCCAATGTTGTGGCGTCCAGAGACGCCCGCGTAGGAAAGAATTAGTGGCTTCTATCTCCACTTCCTCGAGGCTACCTGTGAAAAGTTTACACAGTAACACTCGTAACAAACCCAGGGTTATTTAGCCAGAAAGTGAGGATTAAATTGATAATAAAGGCTCAAAAGTTTGTTTTAGGTAGCTCACAGCCTACCCGATCATACTATAGCACTTGTATATATTTAGCTTAAATAATGACCGGGTAAAAGGCTTTTCCTAGGTTTGCGGAAAGTCTGCAGGACTCGCTCAGGCGTATCATGAGTTACCTATGGAGGGTACAAATACGGCGTCTAATGTAGCGAGCAGCGGTACGTCTGTCCGTCTCGACAGCCACGAGTTTACTGACGCTTGCATGGTGTGCTCCCGGCTTCCTCCCGTCCATCAGTCTGGATGCGTCTAATTTTCAGCTGATTTTATTATCAGCTGGGGAGGAAGACATTTAGCTATTCGTTATTTAATAATATATTCAGTATTTAATGAATGTTTTTGTTAACATTTCAACTTAAAACTGAAAGTATTTTAATTTATGAAGGGAAATTATTAGGTACTGGCCGGTGTAGCTGATGCAGTACTTTCCCTCTGTTGCTAGAAAATCCCTCAACAAAATTAGTATTGTTAGCAATTACCTGACATGACCATTTTAATAGAGGTATGTCAGGGGTTAGTAATTGTGGAGGGAATTTCCGACAGCCACCATGCCGCAACCCAACCAGCTGGGGTTTGGGGTCCCCCAAGGCTGTGAAGCAGCAGCCTATGCCGCACGAGCCTACATTAGTTCTCTTAGCGAAGATCAGGCAGTAGTAAAATTAAGTTTTAAAAACGCTTTCAACTCGGTCAAAAGGGAAGTAGTCCTCACCGCAGTCCAGGAACATTGCCCAAGCATTCTCCACTTTGTGTCAGTAGGTTACAGCAAAGACTCAACCTTCCTGTTTGGGAAACAGGAAGTCACCTCGGCAGAGGGAATTCAACAGGGAGACCCACTTGCGCCCTTCCTCGTTTGCATAGCGGTTCGAGAAATCACAAACAAACTGTCCAGTGAGCTCAACATCTGGTTCCTGGATGACAAGGCCCTGCTGGAAAACCTGCAGCTGGTGAAGTCATAGGGGGAGAGACCCTGGGTCTCGTTCTTAACCCCTCCAAGTGCGAAATTATTTCATCCAGCGAGGTAGTCGTTAATGCAGTGAAACCAGTTTTACCAGAAGCCTCAGTCATTGAACCCACCGACAACACACTACTAGGAGCACCTCTGGGCCACAATGCCATCGCTGCAAAAGTAATAATTGAAGAAAAGTTTAAAAACCTAAAGAGAATGGAAGAGAGAATATGAGACTTGGACTCCCATGACGCCCTCGATCTACCTTCTCACAAAGTGTCTTACCTTACCCAGGCTAATGTACTTTTTATGGTGTGCGCCCACTTTTGGCAACCCACTACTAAGTCAATATGATGAGCTCCTCAAGTAAATATTCAGGAAGGCACTCAACCTAGATTTAGATGAGTCAATGGGACCAAGCAACACTACCAGTGAGATTTGGGAGAATAGGCACACGAAAGGCAACTAAGGTAGCACTTCCAGCATTCTTATCCTCATACACAGCAACAAACGAATTACTAGGGCAGATCCTACCATAGCATATGAGAAACTTAGTGGGAACTCATGATCAAAAGTTCATCGAAGCAGCCAGACAATGGGAAACCATTGCACACCCTCAACCCCGACCACAAGCCCCAAAACTCCACAAGCAGGCCCACTGGGATAGCCCTATAATGGAAAAGACTGTCACAACAATGCTTGAAAACACTGATGCTGAAAACAAAGCCCGCCTCCTAGCAGTAACCGCACCCCATGCTGGGGATTTTATTTACTGTGCCCAATGCAGCCCTGGGAACTCACCTCAGTCATGACGCTCTCCGCATTGGAGTTGCCCTTCGCCTTGCCGCCCCCATCCTCACCGAACATAGGTGCATCTACGGAATCGCGATGGCAGACCAATATGGTAGTCATGGTCTGGTATGTTGTAAATCACAAGGTAAGATTGCAAGACATGCTTCTGCAATGGCCCAGGGTCTTGAAGTGGGTACTTCAAAACTCCGGGCCATTGCAGAAGCTGGACCGAATAACCCTGCAACAGGAACGGCAGCAACCAGAAGAACATAAACTGCCAACATGTCACACTCTTAATTTACTAGCCCATTATATAAGACCCCATTAATACCCCATGTATGTCATTCATACATGTCACCTACCACCTCACCATTAGAGGATATAATCAGGTGCTAACACAGAAGACCTACGAGATCACCATAGCCCGTGCTACATAGACATTTCGTTCTGAGTAGCTAAATCTAAAACAACAACAACAGAAGAATTTCTCTTTGAGAATGTGAGGTGAGACCTTACGAAACGCATCACTAGCCGTCAGACCCATACATACATAAAATGAACTTTGGAGAGTTAATTTGAAATCTTCCTGCTTCAGTGAAGAAAAACATAAGGAACATCGAGAAGATTCATGCTAGAATATATATGTCTGTTATATATGGGGCACTCTTTCTGGTTGTGTTTAACTGTGATTCATAATGCATTATCCAGTTGCAAGTTTTCTGTAAATCATTTGATAGATTTATTATTCTCTCAGGTGATTCTAACTCAGGTATTCGGGTGTTTCCGTGAGATATATAATTTACAAATTGACTATATGTTTCCCACCTTCTCTCTGAGGTACTCATCCCTAATACCTCTCTGTACTTCCTGGTGCTCCCTCCAGTGTTGCCAGGCTCTCAGACTGCTTCCTTACACCCGTAAATTATATACTTGCATTATAGTCTACGTGGCCAGGATTAGTATTAGTTTTTACTGCATTTTTTAATGAAGAAAATGCAGTAAAAATCATATCTTCTGGGGCGTTACCTCTTGAGTTTTGTCTGTCACTGTATCATCCCCCCCCCCCCCCATCATGCCTTCCCTGACAGCTTTGTTTCTGTGAGTGCTATCACATCTGGGTTCCCCTCAAGCGCTCATTCTCCGGAGTTCATTTGTCTTGTCTCTTTAAACCTATCTATATGTGAGTGCATGACTCTGGAGCGTGTTGTGTGGGAGTAGTGAGGGATGAATGCACGGGGAAGGAAGTGGAAGTGAACGACAAGGCAGGGAAGTGATGGGAATGGTTTATGTTATTGCTGTGGACGGCACTGTGCCATCTAGTTTGGTGAACAAATCCACAAGGGCCGTGACGAGGATTCGAACCTGCGTCCGGGAGCATCCCAGACACTGCCTTAATCGACTGAGCTACGGCCCTTGTGGATTTGTTCATTTGATGCATCACATTAGTGTGATCTCTGTGTGTGTAGCTTGGTGAAGTCACTTCCCTCGCTCCCTCTGCTCTTTACTTACCTCTGCAGTTGGCACTTTATGTAGCAGTGACTTTTTATAGGTGGCTCTATATGTAAGGCTTATGGAGGCTTTAGTAGCTTATGATGACCTTGTATTGGTTTGTGACGGTGAGGGTGTTGACAGTGTTGACGTGGGAGGGGCCGGAGCTGGTGCTGGAGAAGGTGGCCAGGGACGACATGGGCGCCTACCTCTGCATCGCCTCCAACGACATCCCGCCCGCCGTCAGCAAGCGGATGGTCGTCCAGGTTCACTGTGAGTATTCACCGGGGGGAGGGGGGCATTATGTGACGCACTCATCGTCCACTGTGACTCTTTGTTATCATACACTGTGACGCTCTCTTGTCATACACTGTGACGCTCTCTTATACATGCAGTGTGACGTTGTTTATCATTTAGTGTGACGCTGTGTTACTAGAACTGTGACGTATATCTAATAGATATTTTGCTCGTTGCAGCAACTAGTCTAGCCCTTGTATTATGTAGCCTAGCCCTTATAACAAATAGTCTAGCCATTGCAGCAAGTAGTCTAACCCTTGTAGCAAGAAGCCTATCCTTTATAGGCACTGGCGTAGCCCAAGTAGCAAGCAGAATAGCCTTAGTACCAAGTAACTTACCTCTTTTAGACCATCAACTTACACCCTGACAGCAAACAGCTTAGATTCTTGTAGCACGTAGCCTCTTTAGTAAGTCAAGTAGACCACTGTATAGCAAGCTGCCTATAGCTCCTTTTAAGTAGCAGTCTTAAACCTCCCCAAGCTCAGAAAAGATAGCAGCTTAGATCCAGCAGGTGATAACTATAGGACTTCCTTGGCTCTGATAGCGAGGATCACAGGATCTGCCTAAAATCCCCCCGTAGTAAGAGCTTGCTTGGGATCAGGCAGCCGTAGCCCCTTTCCTGCTCCTCCTTCAGGAGGACACGACTAATATGTTTTGACGGGTTCTTGCCTCTCCACAGTCCATCCGTTGATCAGGATCCCCAACCAGTTGGTGGGTGCTCCTCCAGGCACCAACGTGACCCTCGAGTGTGAGGTCGAGGCCAGCCCCAAGTCCATCAACTTCTGGACCAAGATCCTTGATGACCAAGGTAAGTCTCTATGGCCTTGACCACCAGGATTAGATTCGTGGTTCATTGTTTACAGGACGGAGTCTGTTAGGATGAGGGTGAGTGTTGGGATGAGGGAGTGTGTTGGGATGAGGGAGAGTGTTGGGATGAGGGAGAGTGTTGGGATGAGGGAGAGTGTTGGGATGAGGGAGAGTGTTGGGATGAGGGAGTGTGTTGGGATGAGGGAGAGTGTTGGGATGAGGGAGAGTGTTGGGATGAGGGAGAGTGTTGGGATGAGGGAGAGTGTTGGGATGAGGGAGTGTGTTGGGATGAGGGAGTGTGTTGGGATGAGGGTGAGTGTGTTGGGATGAGGGTGAGTGTTGGGATGAGGGAGAGTGTTGGGATGAGGGAGAGTGTCGGGATGAGGGAGAGTGTTGGGATGAGGGAGAGTGTTGGGATGAGGGAGAGTGTCGGGATGAGGGAGAGTGTCGGGATGAGGGAGAGTGTTGGGATGAGGGAGAGTGTTGGGATGAGGGAGAGTGTTGGGATGAGGGAGAGTGTCGGGATGAGGGAGAGTGTCGGGATGAGGGAGAGTGTCGGGATGAGGGAGAGTGTTGGGATGAGGGAGAGTGTTGGGATGAGGGAGAGTGTTGGGATGAGGGAGAGTGTTGGGATGAGGGAGAGTGTTGGGATGAGGGAGAGTGTTGGGATGAGGGAGAGTGTTGGGATGAGGGAGAGCGAGAAGTAAATAACATAAAATGAGTAGGACCAAGAAGGGTCTGACACAACCACATGTTCTCAAACTTTGTTGGTTCATTTTTTCTCTGTGTGTGTGTGTGTGTGTGTGTGTGTGTGTGTGTGTGTGTGTGTGTGTGTGTGTGTGTACTCACCTAATTGTGCTTGCGAGGGTTGAGCTCTGGCTCTTTGGTCGCGCCGTACAAAATGCACGTACAAAACGCAGGCAAATCATAACATAGAACGAAAAGGCAATGTAAAGGACCTGGGTGTACTCATGTCGGAAGACCTTACCTTTAAAGAACACAATAAAGTAGCCGTCACAACTGCAAGAAAAATAACAGGTTGGATAACAAGAACTTTTCACACTAGAGATGCTATACCGATGATGATACTTTTCAAAACGCTTGTGCTATCTAGAGTGGAGTACTGCTGCACAATGACAGCCCCTTTCAAAGCTGGAGAAATTGCTGACCTAGAGAGCGTGCAGAGATCCTTTACTGCTAGAATCCACTCAGTAAAACATCTAAATTACTGGGACCGACTAAAGAGCCTAAATCTGTACTCCCTTGAGCGCAGGCGGGAGAGATACATAATAATTTACACGTGGAAAATAATTGAGGGGCTGGTCCCAAACCTGCACACAGAAATAACACCACATGAGACCAGAAGACATGGCAGGATGTGCAGAATACCCCCGTTGAAAAGCAGAGGTGCAACAGGTACTCTGAGAGAGAACTCTATCAACATCAGAGGCCCGAGACTGTTCAACACGCTTCCACTACACATAAGGGGCATAACTGGCAAACCCCTCACAGTGTTCAAGAGAGAACTGGATAAGCACCTCCAAAGGATACCTGATCAACCAGGCTGTGACTCATACGTCAGGCTGCGAGCAGCCGCGTCTAACAGCCTGGTTGATCAGTCCAGCAACCAGGAGGCCTGGTCGACGACCGGGCCGCGGGGACACTAAGCCCCGGAAGCACCTCAAGGTAGCCTCAAGGTAGGTAGCGCGCCTAATGCATTCCATTTATTAACTACTCTGACACTGAAAAAATTATTTCTAACGTCTCTGTGGCTCATCTGGGTACTCAGTCTCCACCTGTGTCCCCTTGTTCGTGTCCCACCCGTGCTGAAGAGTTTGTCTTTGTCCACCCTGTCAATTCCCCTGAGAATTTTGTAGGTGGTTATCACTTGTGGTATACATATGACGATGAACACTCTAATAAAGCAAATGAGATGAAAGAAAGAATTGACAAAACAGATGTAATTTCAGTCCCACTGACAAGTCACAGAAAAGTTAATCCAAATTAGATTTCCTCACGGGAAAGGAAAGAAAGAAAGCACTCCAAAGGAAGGAGGAGGAGGAGGAACGCCACTGCTAATCAGAAGAGAAGTAGAAACAGAAAAGCATTGTTGAAGCAAATGTTATACACAGACCATACCGCAGGGATTGCTACAGAGAGGACGTGGAGAGAGACATAAGGTGCAGACGAGTCATATGAATGGTAGAAATAACTCTTTGTATTAACATAAGAGTAGTGAGAAGATGGGACGGACGAGAGGGAGAGGCAGCAGAAGCCGAGTCACTGGACACAGGTGGAAACTGAGTACCCAAATGAGCCACAGGAACGCCAGAAAGAACTTTTTCAGTGTCAGAGTAGTTAACAGATGGAATGCATTAGTCAGTGATGTGGTGGAGGCTGACTCCATACACAATTTCAAGTGTAGATATGATAGAGCCCAGTAGGCTCAGGAACCTGCACACCTGTTGATTGACGGTTGAGAGGCGGGACCAAAGAGCCAGAGCTCAACCCCCGCAAGCACAATTAGGTGAGTACAAGTAAGGGCTTCACTTCTTTATATTATCTTCTGTGTCGGAGAAGTATGGGGAGGGGGAGGGGGGGGTCCGGTAGGAGGGACGGGGGGGGATTGCATTTAAAGTGGCATTTTAGAGTAGCCACAGTAGTCACAGTAGGTACAGTAGTCATAGTAGTCACAGTAGGTACAGTAGTCATAGTAGTCACAGTAGGTACAGTAGTCATAGTAGTCACAGTAGCCACAGTAGTAGTCACCGAGAGCATTAGTAATAATAAATCTACGAAAGAGATGACCGAAAGCTGAAAGCCGGGTCCCTGAACTTGTGACAGGTCTGGACCCTCAATTACTCATCCCGGCAGAACTGCCACCTATCCGCCAGCGTATTCTACCTTACGAGGAGTCGATGTTCCTCTAGAGCAGTGGACGATGTGCGCCCTAAAGTGCCGTGGCACACTCCACTCTAGAGCTCCTCTCTGTTGGGGGCCCTACTGCCTCCCTGGATGCCAGTGTTCACCTCTAGGGAGCACCTCAGTCGCAACACGGAGCACAGCTCACACCGAACCTCAGCCTTGCACCCCGTACTGAGTGAAGTAATCCGACCCCTCCATCGTTTTCCTGCTGGTGTGACCGTGGACACGGAAACTCAAGAGTTTACCCAGGTCGGGTTGCCCATTCATAAGGTTATATCAACAAGGTTCCCAATGCAGTCTCCGTCACGTAGAGGTAAAGCACTTGCTCGGCGCTTCGCAAGCGCTTTGGTCTGGGTTCGTATCCTAGCCGGGGAGGATCCTAGCCGGGGAGGATTTAATGGGCGCCAATCCTTAACTGTAGCCTCTGTTCACCCAGCAGTGTATGGGTACCTGTTCGTTTAACGATTTGGCGGGTCGTATTCCGGGGAAAAATGGGATTAAGGACCTGCCAGAAACGCTATGCGTGTTGGTGGTTGTACAAGAATGTAAAAACTCTTGTATATATAAATAATTAAAAAACCAAAGGTCGCCAACTTGACTCGCGTTCCTCTGCGGTCAAAAAATATTTACACACAGTAGTATACCGCGTCACCCAGACTAGTATACTAATAGCAATGTGGTGTTCAGTAAACCCCTCAACAACATAGCAAGAAAATGAAGAGGAAACAAACACCGTAATAAAATTTTATTCGTTTACTCAAATTAGGCTACACCGTAATAAGCCATAGAGATCTCTCTACTTCTACCCGGCGGCAACAATTTTGAAATTAATCCAGTTATTTATGGCAACACTTCAGGTTCCACACTGCAGAGTGATGAGGCTCTAGGCCGTAACCTTACTCTATAACATGTGTTGTAACACCACTCTAATAATGCGCCGCCTCTAGCTCTCTCTGTAATTAATAATATGAAAACATAATCACTAACAATAATATGACTTAATGTCCGGCGTTATTCCTCACATAGTTTCTGAGTACTACTCTAATAATACTACGGAGCTACCTTATAGACCGATATAACGCCTTTCCTAACACAAGGGGGAAATGGGAGGGCAATTTTAATTACCTTATCGACTATATTCTGAAGAGTGTAGACCCCGTTGATCGTAGACGCGATGAGTAACTCCTCAATGATCCACGACGTCTGGATCGGCCTCCTCTTGCTGATGATCTCCTCCCTTGGCGTCCGACCGTTACACCTCACACGGCCGACGCTCACTCCACAAAGTGTTCCTCACTAGTTGTTAGGTTGCAGCCGACGTCGCCTGGCCTCTCCAGACTGATGCCCATTCACGGTCTGGCCCACTGCTTTTTATGTCGCCATGTAGTGTGAATTCTTCTCCCCCGGGAACGGTCGTCACACACTGTACCAGACCAGGACTCTTCTCCTCAGCTCCACCGTACGAAACGGCCTGCGGGTTATACCTCAAGCCTCCAGGCCCACCTCTTGAAGTAACTTTGGAGCGCTACAGTCATCGAGCTATTGGTACTCTTCTCTCACCATCCAACTCTTCCTTGTACTCCTTCGGGAGTCGACGGAGCACCCCTCTTCGTTAATACACGAGAGCTGTTCGAGCTTACACTCTGGAAGCCTATTCTCTAAAATTGGGGAACGCACCTCAGCACAGCTTCACCACTGGCAGCGACTGACTGCAGATCTCCCGCCAGTACCGACGGGCGCCTGACGTCACGCTACATCACACCCTAGGCACTTCGCCATTGGTTTACCAGGTCAAGCCCCCGCCACCGACCAATCACGCCTCACCTGACGCTTTACCCACAATCCTCTGGGGGTCCTCCTCGAGCGGGAAACCTTCTCCCTCCCGAGGCGCACCGCCATTTTAATGGTGGCGCCGCTATCAACCTCTTCCCAAATAAAACTAAAATAAAAATTTCTTCTTATTGTGGCATCTTGCCTCCCTTAAAGAGATATAAAACCAAACTAGTACTTTTCTGGGTATACACAGAGAGGGGAGTATGACTCTTATAGGCGGGGAATAGGAGAATATATGCTGGCCTCCGTAACAAGGGTCAACACAGACAATTGAGATTGGTGATTAAATTGCCAGTAACTGGAGGTTCTCCCTCGTGCAGGTCCGCAGATCGTTGACAGCAGGAAGTACGTGAACGAGGAGAAGGTGGTGAACCAGTACACCCTCAGGATGCACCTCACCATCAGGGACCTCAAGCCTGATGACTTCACCAGCTACAAGTGTACCGCAAAGAACTCTCTTGGTGAGGTCGAGGGCACCATCAAGCTCTACGGTGAGTCACGTCAGGCGACGGTGAGTTACTGCAGGCGACGGTGAGTTACGGCAGGCGACGGTGAGTCACGGCAGGCGACGATGAGTCATGGCAGGCGACGGTGAGTCATGTCAGGCGACGGTGAGTCATGGCAGGCGACGGTGAGTCACGGCAGGCGACGGTGAGTCACGGCAGGCGACGGTGAGTCACGGCAGGCGACGGTGAGTCACGGCAGGCGACGGTGAGTCACGAGTAAAGATTGTGAGGTGTAGCAGCATCACTGGTCAGCATGCAGCAGCATCACTGGTCAGCATGCAGCAGCATCACTGGTCAGCATGCAGCAGCATCACTGGTCAGCGTGCAGCAGCATCACTGGTCAGCATGCAGCAGCATCACTGGTCAGTATGCTGCAGCATCACAGGTCAGCGTGCAGCAGCATCACTGGTCAGCGTGCAGCAGCATCACTGGTCAGCATGCAGCAGCATCACTGGTCAGCATGCAGCAGCATCACTGGTCAGCATGCAGCAGCATCACTGGTCAGCATGCAGCAGCATCACTGGTCAGCATGCAGCAGCATCACTGGTCAGCATGCAGCAGCATCACTGGTCAGCATGCAGCAGCATCACTGGTCAGCATGCAGCAGCATCACTGGTCAGCATGCAGCAGCATCACTGGTCAGCATGCAGCAGCATCACTGGTCAGCATGCAGCAGCATCACTAGTCAGCATGCAGCAGCATCACTGGTCAGCGTGCAGCAGCATCACTGGTCAGTATGCTGCAGCATCACTGGTCAGCGTGCAGCAGCATCACTGGTCAGCATGCTGCAGCATCACTGGTCAGCATGCAGCAGCATCACTGGTCAGCATGCTGCAGCATCACTGGTCAGCATGCAGCAGCATCACTGGTCAGTATGCTGCAGCATCACTGGTCAGCATGCTGCAGCATCACTGGTCAGCATGCTGCAGCATCACTGGTCAGCATGCTGCAGCATCACTGGTCAGCATGCTGCAGCATCACTGGTCAGCATGCTGCAGCATCACTGGTCAGCATGCTGCAGCATCACTGGTCAGTATGCTGCAGCATCACTGGTCAGCATGCTGCAGCATCACTGGTCAGTATGCTGCAGCATCACTGGTCAGTATGCTGCAGCATCACTGGTCAGCATGCAGCAGCATCACTGGTCAGCATGCTGCAGCATCACTGGTCAGCATGCTGCAGCATCACTGCTCAGCATGCTGCAGCATCACTGGTCAGTATGCTGCAGCATCACTGGTCAGCATGCAGCAGCATCACTGGTCAGCATGCTGCAGCATCACTGGTCAGTATGCTGCAGCATCACTGGTCAGCATGCTGCAGCATCAAGTACTTGCACCTGTTTCAATTTTATCACAAACAAAATTCTGTCCTTCATTTATTTGATGTGAGATATTAATACAATGCATTTTTTTATCCCGAAAACATAAAAAGTGGCAGTTTAAGCTGTGATGCGTATTGCATATCCCAACTGGCTAATGGATCACTCAGCTTCCACTCTGAGAACAACATTTATCACACTCATTTAACCTCGGGAGCCCCAGCACTACATGTTTTCTCATTATTTGTATACGCGAAAATAATGTATTTGCATTCTCATAACAATTACCTGTAATGTTCATCCAAGAAGTCATTTATACTGTAAGACGTCTGTACTCGTATACAATCCAGGTGTTTTTAATGTATACTTTCTCATTCTTGGGTTCCTAACATTATTCATATAAATCACACCATATTAATCACTATGTTATGAACAAATGCAACGTCAGGCTACAACATTCATGTTCTTCTCCACAGAGATTGAGCTTCCAAAACCATTAACAACTGCCCACGAGCTGCTGATAGAAACCATAGGGCAGGAAATTCAACCGCCACTGAACAACAAGCACGACCTTCTCGTCCCTCTCCCCGATGACAGACATGTTCCTGCCTCCCGCCAAGACAAGCCCACACCCACCCGCCCACTGCCTCCAAAACGGCCCCAAAACACCCACGCCGTGCCATACTCGCCCACCAGCTCAGGCATGGACCATGGAGTATGTGGGTCTATATCAGTCTCTGTGGTAATACTAGTGGCCTCAGTCCTCTCGTCTCAGATGGTGATATGGTCAGCAGTATAAGCCATAACATGCCAGCATCTCCACGTGTGATTGCTAGTGTCCTCTTGTGAATCGTCATGTGTGTGTCCCTTTGTGCGTCGTCCTCAGTAACCCATTGTATGACCCCCCTGCAGCCGGCAGGTCGTGCTCAAGAAAAAGTGTGCTGACCTGGGGAACTAAGTTGTATGGGTGCTGGCTTGGACATCTGAATCCAACAGCAGATGAGGCCAATCTGACAAGCTTCCTTTACCAGACTAGAAGTTTTAATGTGTTGTGCCAGAACGTCACTCAGTGGGCCTCTTAAACAAATAGACAAATTTTAGAGTGCAGTAAGTTACGTAATGACCATAAACAGTTAATGATATGTACTTCTTATTTCCTGTTCGTGATGTGCATAAATAACAGTAGAATAAAGGGCATGAAGTAAGCATGAAGAACATCAGAACATAAAGTATGAGCTCTGGTAATGTGGATCCCACCAGCTGCCACCATTACTAACGTGCTCTCATCTAAGCCAGCAGCCCTCACCTCCTGGTCAAGTAACTTCAACAGAAACCCTGCTTTGAGGACAGTTTAGTGAAAATATATACATACATATATACATATATATATTTCTTGAGAATATTATGTGATTTCCATACTCGCCAAATTAGTACAGCGCTCCACCTGGCTAGCTGCTGTCCAACCGAGGCCTCCTAACAACAGCAGGTGCCTCCAGTTCCTAGAACAGGCCACTACCTCCTTCCAGTTCTCCAGCGCCCTGCCATCTTCCTCCACCATACCCACAACGGGGGCCAACACTTCCCCCATTCCCTGTCTTTGTTTTGTCTAGTTTCCACTCTAACCCCTGGCTTCAGGTTTCTGTACTTGTTGGAGCTGTTCCGTTACTCGTGTGGCGCACCGCCGCCCCTCACCAGGGCCTTATGCTGTATGTCTGTGTTCGTCTCTAGGTACTCATTTATAATGCATGATTCAGGTCTTGGACTGAAAGCTTCTAACACTTGTTGAATGGTTGTCGCCGTACTTCCCCATGTATGCATTAAGATTGCCATTATATCGTTACTATATACTCAGGTGGAGGGACAGGAGAGCCCCTAAAAAGAAGGAATTTCTCCCTGGTTACATTTAGCTTCCCCCCAACCTTGTATAGGGACTTACAGACGCATGTTAACCGACGAAATCCAATGTAATGGTGCACAGTGAAGGAACTCATCCTGCTCAATATTCTAGGATATTTGTAACTTTGTTTAACCTGCACAAAATGGGTGGAAGAAAAGCATTACTGTGACCTTATACAGGCTCCTGAAATCTCCTTAACAAGACATTCATATAAAGAGCTAAGTCTTAGCCAACTTACTGCAACTGTTAACTTCGACCAGAAGTGCTGGGTACTTACACCCGCCAGGAAGGCTGTCATCCGTGTCTCAAGTTGAGAAGGTTTCAACATTATATAAAGTGACACTTGTAGCTGGTGCTCAGGTGACGCACTTGTGGCTGGTGCTCAGGTGACGCACTTGTGGCTGGTGCTCATGTGACGCACTTGTGGCTGGTGCTCAGGTGACGCACTTGTGGCTGGTGCTCAGGTGACGCACTTGTGGCGGGTGCTCAGGTGACGCACTTGTGGCTGGTGCTCAGGTGACGCACTTGTGGCTGGTGCTCAGGTGACGCACTTGTGGCTGGTGCTCAGGTGACGCACTTGTGGCTGGTGCTCAGGTGACGCACTTGTGGCTGGTGCTCATGTGACGCACTTGTGGCTGGTGCTCAGGTGACGCACTTGTGGCTGGTGCTCAGGTGACGCACTTGTGACTGGTGCTCAGGTGACGCACTTGTGGCTGGTGCTCAGGTGACGCACTTGTGGCTGGTGCTCATGTGACGCACTTGTGGCTGGTGCTCAGGTGACGCACTTGTGACTGGTGCTCAGGTGACGCACTTGTGGCTGGTGCTCAGGTGACGCACTTGTGGCTGGTGCTCAGGTGACGCACTTGTGGCTGGTGCTCAGGTGACGCACTTGTGGCTGGTGCTCAGGTGACGCACTTGTGGCTGGTCCTCAGGTGATGCGCTGAGGACGCACTTGTGGCTGGTCCTCAGGTGACGCACTTGTGGCTGGTGCTCAGGTGACGCACTTGTGGCTGGTGCTCAGGTGACGCGCTGAGGACGCACTTGTGGCTGGTGCTCAGGTGACGCGCTGAGGACGCACTTGTGGCTGGTGCTCAGGTGATGCGCTGAGGACGCACTTGTGGATAGTGCTCAGGTGATGCGCTGAGGACGCACTTGTGGATAGTGCTCAGGTGACGCGCTGAGGACGCACTTGTGGTTAGTGCTCAGGTAACGCACTGAGGACGCACTTGTGACTTGTGGCTGGTGCTCAGGTGACGCGCTGAGGACGCACTTTGCAGAGATAAGTTATCTTCCCCTCATACTGCTGCATGAGAGAACACTCCAATGTCCTCGGCAGTGAGCAGACCTTGCCAGCCCGGACATGGTGGCACATAGCGTCTCCACATGGCCCTGTGACCTCGAAGTGCGGCCCGTGCGATGTCCAGCAGAACATGGCCGTCTCAAGAATGATTTAAGATTAATCTTAGCAAGGCGATGCTCGTCGTCCCAATGATGTGTGATGCTCGTCCTCACCCAGGTTACTGATCCTTGTCTTCCCTCTCCCCCACCCCACCGCTCCCATGTTCCACTACGCCCTCGTCTCTCTATCCCCACTTGAGAACCTCTTGGCCACGGCGTTGCATGCATGTCTCTCTTCCTCCTCTCTCTCTCACCTTCCTCTTGTATCTTTCGGCCTGCCAGCTCAACATCTCGTATCCCCTCTTATTAACATATCAAGTTGTCCCCCTGAGGTTGATACTACTCCCTCCCCACAGCCCTCTGGTTGGCTACACCAGGACTCCTGTAACCCTCACCCCCAGCAATCTGGTAGTCACTACAGAGGCTACAGTATCCCCCCAAGCCACTTTTGGTAGCCACTACCAGAGCAGCTGTAGTTCCACCTCCAACCCAAAACTTTTTGGTAGCCACTCCAGGGCTACTGTATGCCCCAAGCTCCTTGGTAGCCACTACCAGGGCTACTGTATCTCGTCTGGTACCTACTACCAAGGCTACTGTACCCCCCTCCCTCACCCAGCCCTCTGTAGCCACTGTAACATACTGACCGGTCCCTTCAGCTGTAAATATCACCGCCCTGTTATCATGTTTGGTAAATAATTATTCTACACAGACCTGTGTGTGTGTGTAAAGATTCATGTGCATATAAAAAGATGAATTTATATATAAATAAATATAACAATATGTATAGTGATGACGTGAGAGTGGAAGTATTAATAAAAACCAAAGCTCAAATAGTGTCAAGTGTTTTTCCCTTGCCTCGCTGTGTCTCAGGGATACATGTGTTGTCACAAGAACGTCGGGATCTGTGAGGAGATATCTGGGACATGCATTGGGATCGAACTCTCGTGCTTGGGAGAGCCTTAAACTGAACCAATGTGTTGGGTCCACAACAAACTTTGAGGGGCACTGAAAACAGTGACCCTCGACACTAAACTATACTACGCGTTACTATACTGTAATGAACTACTGTTAACTGTGTTATACTGAACTACTGTTAACTATGTTATACTGGACTATGGTTAACTATACTATACTGGACTATGGTTCCCCCCATAGTCATACTATATATATACTGCATAGTATATATATATATATATATATATATATATATATATATATATATATATATATATATATATATATATATATATATATATATATACTGTATATACTATATATAGTATACTGTACTATACTGTATTACACTGAACTACAGTAAACTATACTGAACAGCTAACTATTCCGTATTATACTGAATTACAGTTAACTATACTGTATTATACTGAACTAAAGTTAACTATACTGAAATACAATTAACTATACTGTATTATACGGAACTATAGTTAAATATGCTGTATTATACTGAACTACAGCTAACTATACTGTATTATCCTGAACTACAGTTACCTATACTGTATTATACTGAACTACAGCTAACTATACTGTATTATCCTGAACTACAGTTACCTATACTGTATTATACTGAACTACAGCTAACTATACTGTATTATCCTAAACTACAGTTACCTATACTGTATTATACTGAACTACAGCTAACTATACTGTATTATACTGAATTACAGTTACCTATACTGTATTATATTGAACTACAGCTAACTATACTGTATTATACTGTGTAACACCGCCCAATTGTAACACCACCCTAAAATGTACCACTATAATGGAACACCACTATAATGGAACACTAAACTATCCTGAGTAACACTTCCCCATTGGTTGCACTTGATAACACTTATGGGCTGACATATGATGATTACACCGGGACTACAAAGTACACTGTCAACAAGGAGATGCTAACACAGGATGAAATACGCTGCCACCATCTGCCTTTGACCATTGAAACTATATCAAGCAACGAGGCAAGAAACATTGCTTGACTTGGAGAGTACTTCTATGACTGTCATTAATTATGAAAACGGTTGTCAGCCACTATATCCAAAAGGCTAAGAGGATTCAACAATTGACACAGACGGGAAATTTCACGTAAGTTTATTGAGACCAAAATTATGTCAATCACCAATTATAAATCCTACCCTAACACTGGCAAAAAGTTAAGAAATTTGGACATGGAACAAAAACTCAAAGATCACACACATTACCTTAAGCTATCTGTCTCTCCCTGGCTGAGATGTTCTTCACAGCCCCGCTCTCGATCCCGGTGTACCGCACTCTGCCCTTTCTAAGTCCCTCCAGGACCGCTATATACATCCCCCACAGAGGGAGGGGGAGATCTGCTGTTGCTACCCACCAAGAGTGTACAAACAGTCAAGAAATATTTCAAAAAGCTTGTTTGACATTCACCATACACTCTTCAAGAGAGGAGTTATTAATTACATGTGACTGACCTCTGACCTGGCCAAAAAGGGGGAGATCCAAGGATGTTTACACATAAGAATCTGGAGTCTAATTTCCTTGCATGAAATATTACATACTTGAAACTATGCTGACTAAGACTAACCCAGGAATTTTTAATCAATATACAAGATAAACCGGAGGACATCTGGGCTGACCTCTTGGAGAAGGCTTCCCTGGGTGTGAACTCTAAGGAGGGGGGGGGGGTCCTGGGTGTTACAGCTCCCTTTCCCCGGAGTTAAGACAAAATCGGGTGTATGATAATTAAGCCCAATTTTGTCTTATCCTAACTCATCCAAAATACCACAACTAACCCTAAAAGAAAAAAAAATTGCCAGTGACATAATGATAAAAGTAAGCTAACTAAATTAACATGATGCAAAGTACATTATACAGTTATACTGCAGTAAGAACAAAACATAAATGTATAATGAAAGAAACAAAAGTACAAAAAAAATACCTTGGCAAAAGTACAAGTAATGATACCGTCACACATGATACGATTCCGATATCCTAATATGACAATAAAGTATCAATGAAAAAAACAAATCCCGACTGCACCAAAGCAGTCCAGCAAGGCTCCCTCAGAAGGCTGGAAGACCAAAACAAAAAAATCGCCTTAAAACTAGCAGTGCCTTAGTGCGCGCTCCTGATAGTTGTGTTGCCTAGTCAACACTTAGATCAAGTGAACTGTTATAACCTGGTGTGACATAGTGGGGACATGGTGGCCAGGAGGGGCATGGTGGCCAGGAGGGGCATGGTGGCCAGGAGGGGCATGGTGGCCAGGAGGGGCATGGTGGGGCTGTGTTCCCGCCAGCTATTACAAGACGCTTGTTACACAGCGTACACGGGACCCCTGCACAGTTACTTGGTGTAGAGAGTAATGAGGGTGCTGGTACGACCACACCCAGGACGACCACGACACCAGGACGACCACGACACCAGGACGACCACGACACCAGGACGACCACGACACCAGGACGACCACGACACCAGGACGACCACGACACCAGGACGACCAGGACACCAGGACGACCAGGACACCAGGACGACCAGGACACCAGGACGACCAGGACACCAGGACGACCACGACACCAGGACGACCACGACACCACGCCCCCCCCCCCCACAGTACATCTCCAGCACAGGTTGGTCAATATACTGTCCTTGTGTCTACTATACACTGGGGATACGAGGCACGGGATGTGACTGATCAAGGCTCCTGCCATTGTCTGTCATCCACATCTCAGTGACTGGGTGCGACAGTCACTTCATTTGCGTCCGCTCCTGACGCCTCGCCTCTCAGTCTCACTCGGGCATTATGTGTTTCACAGGTGGGCACAGAAGTCGAATTGTGACTCTTGTATTAAGCAGACTTGCAGCTTTCCCTGTCCATAACTGACCTGAAGCATCAACTTACTAGTTCCCCCTCGAACACGACCCGCGTTCTGGGAGGAAAGGTTCTCGGCTGGTTTGGCTAGGCTACGATCTGCTGTGTTAGTGCAACCCGTTCTCGCACTTTCGTATAGCCAATATTGACTTATTAAATACGTGCATATGTGACATACTAAACATACTAGTTTACCTTGAAAAGCTTCATATAAAACACCGACCTTACCTGACCTTCTAAGTATGAAGCAATAAGATGCTTATCTTAACATACTAAGAAGGTCAGGTAAGGTCGGTGTTTTCTATGAAGCTTTTCAAGGTAAACTAGTATGTTTAGTATGTCACATATGCACGTATTTAATAAGTCAATATTGGCTATACGAAAGTGCGAGAACGGGTTGGTTAGTGGCAGATTAAGAGCCCTCGTCCTCCTGCTAAATAAATCCCAATATAAAACAAATGAATGAATAGTGATAAGTTGAACTTGGAAACATATTAACTTACAACTAACAGCTGTAGAATTCAAATATTTATCCAATGATGTTTGCACTTTGTGTACCTCTACCCTCTTCTAGCTACACCTTCACCTTCAGTGTTGCTCGTACCACCCGCCTCCAGGCACCAGGAGGCTAGTCTGGTTCCCCCTATAGGATAGTGGCACTCAGACCTTCTTAAGCCGACAGTTATAGACCTTGGTGCCAGCACGTCACCCAGAGGGCGGACGCACACACTCCACCCATTTTTTTTATTAATACATTAGGTACATCTGCATGTGTGCAGCTACTCTAGACTATATGAAGGGGAGTACAGCGTGTCATCCTACGTGATGCTAAAAATCTCCATCACACAGGATGGTTAGTCATACAGGGCCATATGTTCAGTAGTCTGCACTGACAAATTTTGGGTGCAATATCTTGAAGAACACGAGAGTGAATAAAGTAATTCCAAAGGTCCGGGTACCCCATGCCAACGGGTCTGAATGGTCTAATAACTCGGCATTCGGTGACCACTTTTTTTTTCTTAATACATGAGGTACATCTGCATTAGTGCAGCTGCCCTAGACTATATGAAGTGGAGTACAGTGTGTCAAAAAAGCTAACTAGGTGAAGCTAAAAAAAAAAAACATCACACAGGATGGTTAGTCATACAGAGGCATGTGATGGGCAGTCTGCACTGGCAGACTCCGGAAGCATTTTGAGGATATCATCAACACAAGATTGAATAAGGTAGCAGTGGTAATACAAGTCCCCATCTCGCAGGATGGTTAGTCATACAGAGCCATGTGTTTAGTAGCCTGCACTGGCAAATTTTGGGTACACTGTGAGGATATCTTCAAGAATACGAGAGTGAATAAAGTAATTGCAAAGCTCCAGGTACCTCATGCCAACTGGTCTGAAAGGTCTAATAACTGGGCATTCGGTGATGTAGTGCGGGAGATCGTGCCGTAGTTCCTGCTCACAGAGTTTGCAACTGGAGTGCTCAGGATTGGGAGATCCGTCACTTGCAGCCACCTGCCACAGGTAACGGTAACCCAACCTGATCCTGGCAACCACTGTGTCGCACAATCTAGTGGACGTTTTGTGCTGCCCATAGATATAAGTTTCAGATCTGAACAGATCATAGTTTTTTATACTAGTACTTTCAGGTCGTTGGGAGTCAGTAAGTTCTTTCCTATCAGATCTGAGTGTTTGGACCAATACAGTTTTGACAGCAGAGATGGGGATACCTAGATCTAATTCAACTTCATCCTTGTTACACGCTAATTTGGCTGCAATGTCTGTCTCATTATGATGGGTTATATTTATGTGTGAAGGTATCCATACAAAGGAGATTCGAGACCCTCACTACTGGTGGTTCCTGAGGAGCTCTGCGGGACACTTCTGGCCGGTGTCACCCCCACCTGTCCGGGGGCCACGGACCATGGACCTCCACTCTCGCTGACAAATGACTGATTATTACAATTGACAGCTGTG